CAACGTGCCGAAGAAGCCCGACAACTTGCGCGTCTCCGTATCAAGAATCAACAGACGATAGACAGCCACCGTTACAACCTTCGACGACGCTTCGTGGAATACCAGCCCGGTGAACGTGTTTGGGTGTGGACGCCGATACGCCGACGTGGACTAAGTGAAAAGCTTCTGCGACGCTACTTCGGACCGTACAGGGTGGTTCGACGTCTCGGCCCACTTGATTACGAGGTTGTCCCCGACGGCATCACGAACTCTCAACGACGCCGATCGCGACCTGAAGTCGTCCATGTCGCGCGCCTCAAGCCGTTTCATGCGCGTTAACAAACTGAAACAGTGTTCTTTTTGTATTCCTGTTTCATCGTAATTTATTCATTGTACTTTCTTGCATTATTATTGTACCTTCATCTTTATTTAAAGCATCGGGACGATGCCTTTTTTCAGAGGGGGGCAATGCCACGTTCCATTTCCCAAGTATTCGTTATCGTCCCAAAACACCACACGATTCTCAGCGCAAACCGCGCCTGCAGTTTTCCAGAAGGTTCCGGACTGTAGTAGATCATTTCGATAAGATCACGCCCACTGTGCGAACGGTACAGATTGTTCTGGAACCTACGCCACCGCCAGCGATAATGCTAGAACATTCGATGGCAAGATTATAAATGCCGACGCGCTTCGCCACTTGTCAGTAGTTGTTGATCGAAGGCCGACGCTCTATTCGCCGCTATCAGTACGAGACTGCTGTCTGTGCGAGACTGCTGCTGTAATTGGACTTTCCTTTTACCGGGCACAGGTTCGCCCAAATAAACAGTTAAATCCCAACACGAAGTCTCCTGTCTTCGGCCACGTCACGACCCCGTGACAATATTATGCTTTGAGATAGTGTCGCATCCAGGTGGCTATCACACAGCGTTCTGGCAGCGGTTCACTCTTTACTTAAAGGAGAAAAAATGCATTACTGGCCACGTTAGTCAACAAGGAAGGTGTGGCGCTGTTAAGCTCGATGGCGCGCGTGTCATTTTCGGCTGCTGTAACATTAATGCAAGCGTAACGGGACTCCGGTGATGAGAAAGAAGTGAAGCTAATCGCGCAGGGTGCAGATTCAAGCTTTCCCGGCCATGACATATAAATGGAGATGAAATAACAAATATAACCAAAAAAAACAAGGTTCGTGTTCATTGATATATGCACATGTCAAGGGAACTCGGGTACTCAAGTTGAATCTGGTGCCCCGCCAATGTACGGAACGTGCGTCGCGTAATGATGTCATTGTTCTGATACCTAAAATCCCATATGTCTTTTCTGACTATAAATAAGATGGATGACCCTTCCAGAACTCGTTCTTTTATGCAGAACTAAATGTACTCTTTCACCGCTTTCGTTGGGGGGACTTAATGACAATACAAATTCGGCATAAAAGAAGCTCGCGGACTTTGCGGCTGACCTTATCATGAAACAATGTATCCGCGATTTTGCGTACATTTCCATCTATCTGACGCGGTATACTTCCTACTTTATTGCCAAAACACCGTGTCGAGGCTGATACACGAGTGCGCTTCGTGACCTAAACTGGCTGGTTGCGCAGAGTTAATATCATGAAATGATACGAAGGACCACGGTTTTTGCGGGATGATAAGTGTCAAAAGGTGCGAAATTTTCGTTGTGTGCATTATGGTACACGCATTAGAAGGACATTCGTAAGAGCGGCGTGTCACGTCACCGAAAAAGCCATAGGACGTCGCGTTCACTAACATACAGTGTGTGTGCGTCAAAACAGTTTGATCGATGCATGTGGAAAGGGTCGGCGAGTAGTGAATCTTGAAACCGAATCGAATATGATTGGGATGTGAATCGAATTGTGATGACACTGAAGTGAAATCGAATAAAAATTGTGTACTCTTCGAATGGTTTACCACTAGAAATGCAAGAATTTTCAAAGCAACCCTTGAGTGGCGTACTGCGAAAGCAGTGACACATGGATGACTAAATAATTTTCGCGCTTTATTTTCCGCGCCGTTTGTTGCTCACTGCGAAGAAAAATAGACGAAAGCAGTATTAGACTTGGCATAGAGTGAATAGAAAAATAATATCTGAATTGGGGTAAAAAGTTCACTTTAATGAAGCATTTGAGAGGACAAACTGTTCGTTCGGTGAGGTGCAATTGTGAGGACTAACGGTTTCCGGCAAGGTGTAAACCTGGAGACTAACGGTTCCCAGCTAAAGTGTAAATGTTAAAATAACGTTAGTCCTTTGAGGTGATTTGTGGGGACTAACGGTTACCCGCTAAGACGTAAGTGTGAGAACAAAATCTTAGTTCTTTGAGCTAGCCTGTGGGAACTGTTAGACCTGGTACCGTTAGTCCATAAAGAAAAAAAAATTCACAGTTTGTTGCAAAGGTGAAGCAATGAACGCGATAGCAACAACTGAAAGGTCGCGCGGAGAATGGAAAGCACATCTAAACATGCCTCGCATTTCTCACGCACAAAAGGCGCACGAAATCTACTCACGGCTACAGATGCACGCGAATAATCGTATCAGTTGTTACTGCGCTGTGTCTGAAAAGCATGCGCTTTTCGCCAACGGAGACTGCAATGATTGCAGTGACCTTGGTGCGCCCGGTAACTACAACAGAATTGTTCCAGGTAAAGCCCTAGGCCAGCCAAGACGTGCGATCCTCTTCACCGCGAGATAAGGGCGTGCGAGGGAGCGTCGTCGCCTCCTTTAAGCGGGGCAAAGTACGCGTGAGAGATTAGAGCGTGCGCCGCCGCGCGATGTGGCGTCAGTGCGCGCATTGCGCCATCTTGCTGGTAGTGTCGAAAACACGATGATTCCCCCCGAGATTCCCGTCAGCAGCGGTAAGCGGTACATAAATATAGCATGCCGTTTGAACATTGAAGGACGTGTTTCTAAGTGGCTCAGTGGTTCACGGCTCGCACTCACGATTCATAGGACCCAACTACTATTCCGTGCGCCGGAGTCTTTTTCTGGATTTTTTTTTCTCATTCTTGCATTTTCACACACACACACACACACACACACACACACACACACACACACACACACACACACACACACACACACACACACACACACACACACCTATATATATATATATATATATATATATATATATATATATATATATATATATATATATTGAGAGCGTTATTCGAAGGTCGTAGGTTCGATTCCTGCTTACGGCAAGTTATTTTTTCGCCCACTTTTCTTTCTTCTTATTTACATTACATTTGTTCTAATAACTTCCCATATACATTTCTTAGCATTATTTTCTGTTAGATCTTATTAATATTGTGTCAAAACACTGAAAAACGAGCCCTTAGGTATACACTTCTTTCCCTTATATATATATATATATATATATATATATATATATATATATATATATTCGGTGAGTGACGGCAATGCCGAAGTCGACACCGGCGGCAAAATCTAGCTGACGGTGTCCATAAAATTGCTATAGCAATAATAATGGCTCTGGTAGCCCCATTATATATTCCCCGAACAAAAGGACAAACCACACACCTTTTAACACCCTTTTGCCTTAGAGAGTAAGATACCAATTCTGATACAGCCAGATGATTGCACAACACTCGATTATAAACAAGTATTGACAAGCTTGAAATAAGGAACAGTATGGCTATTTTTTACTGGCAAAATAATATATTTATCTGAACTTAGGTGAGTTAGTACTCGTACAGTAGTGACCATTGGAAATATTTTTAAGTGCAGGCACAAACGCAGCAGTGGCTGCACTATTCAAATAGGTACTTTTTTAAGAGCTTAGAATTAAGGCTGATTAGAAAAGGTACAGAAAAATACATCACTTGATACCTTCGAGAATGTCACGGGGAAGATAGCGGATTGGTCACACTGTCGCTTCGAGGACACTATTACTTTAAAAAACTGCCTTCATTTTACGATCCATCATCGGTAGATGGACTGCATGCATCTATGCGATGCGATGTGGAAAACAACAAAAAAAAAAGGTTACTCCTCGCTGTTTCACGGTCTCACTCCTCTGAACATGGATTTGTCGTCGCTGGTTATCCAAAAGTATTCAAGAATTGTTCGTTATTCCTAATGTGCACCATTCTATTTGAGTGTCGAATTGAATAGAACGCTATTGGAATCGTTTATTAAAATTTTGAATATTCGCACACCTTTAAAATTCATGAGACACTCCTACGTTACGACCAACAACTTGTTGATCCAGAATACAGCGCTGCTTCAGATAAGAGCCTGTAATTCCAAGACAAACTGCTTGCTTTCTTTACTGTGCGACGTCATCGATAAGGCCTGCAACTGTCTGCAAAATGGAGCTTACGTCCCCACTCGCTGTCAGAAATACGATACTTTCCGGAGACGTCAGCGTTTGTGAACTACGATTCAAGTGAATGTGTATGCCATTAATGAGTCTTACTTCCTATTAAATATGTAGCCAAAAACTTTTAAAGGGAGGGCTTCTCTCAGCCTTTACATATATGCGTGCAGTTTTTGTTCATAAGCGTGTGTGTATACACATGTAAATTTGAAAAAAAAAAATGAAACTTTTATGAGCTTTAGCCCTTAACTTTTTCCCCGCTCCCCCTGGATACACCGATGTCTCCTATTAAAAGCTCACTAGCTATTTCATGTCAGCTGATTCTGTGTAGTCGTCGTAGTATTAATCACAAGTGTTTGACGCCCTAAAACCTACGATAATTGGGCACGCTGTAGTGGAGGGCTCTGGTGATTTCTACCACGTGGGTTTCTGCAACCTGCAGATAAACTTAAGTACTTGGGCCTCGAGTATTTTCGCCTCCGGTCGGGTTTCGATTCCGCAACCTGCGGGTCAGCAGTCGAGGATGGTAACCACTGGACCGCCGGGGTGGCGTGTGTAGTTGACGTCACTGAATGTCTGTGTTTGTATGTCTGGAGTCTTTGCAAAGAGAGAAAGTAACGCAGGAACTATGTTAGCATTGGTGATAATGTAATCGTTCTTGCAGAGGACGGAACAGAAGGCGCCTGCATCGCCTCTGGAGCCAAAGCGAGTCTATCCTCCGGGCACCGATATCCTGAGCCGTTCCATGTCCGAGATACAAGACGACTGCTGTGACGAGGAGGTTGTTGGCGAGGAGGCGCCGGTTATGGAAGCCACTGAGATGTAAGCCATTATTCAAACGTATGACGAAACCATACTCAAATGCCTGCAGGTGTCCAGCGATTATGCCCGGAGTCATATAAATTTACACTCTTATCTGAAGTAACAGTGGGTGAGGCATTGATATGGTGCATAGCTCAGCGAAAGGATCGTGGCGCCAACTGAGAGTGAGGAAAACAGGAGAGAAGACTGTGCATGTTTCCAGACCTCCAACGATAGGTCATTTTTGGCGCATCGCGCAAATAGATATATTCTCGGAAATGCGCACGGTGAGAGGGCGCAGCGCATGTTAACTATCACACAGCCCTATCTGTGAAAACCACCACCCAGCACTATATAAACATACGCATTCACGTTTGTACAGATAGACAGAAGGAACACTGACGTAGCCATCGTCGACACACTTTAAACACTTCGTGTGCGAATGTTTCTATGTTCCTCTCTACCACACGCGCTTCTAAAGACAGTGGTACGCAGCCACGCGAACCACAATGAAACCGCATTTGTGAACATTTTTACTACTCGTAATCATTATTGATTAAGAGGTGGTGTGGGTTCACACCTGCGGGTATGATTGTGCTTCAAGCTGCTGGACACCACTTTTTAGGGCAGTGCGTGTGATAGGCAGGCGCAGAGAAACGTTAGCCCGTGAAGTGCTCGAAGCACATCACATACGGAAGATGGCTGCATAAGTGTCCCTCCGGTCTCTCTGTACAAGTGTGAAGGTTTTTATTCAGAAAGTGCTAAGCGATAGTTTTCGTGGATAGTTCTGTGTGGTAGTTTGCGTGTGCTGCATCCACTGTGCTACGTTCGCGCTTTCGGAAATATGTGAATTTGGATGATAAGCGAAAAAAAGTGCCGCCACATCCACGAAGTGAATGATGATGAGTGGGCGAAGCTCCGGAGGTAAACCTGGTAAACCATGAATCCTCCGTACATTTTGCCCACTCAATTTTATAGCAACGCTCCCCCTAGCGTACGTCGCCGCACTATATCGAACGATGACACGCGCCATATGTGGCATCATTCCTATTTTATAACACCTCGCATCTTTCATAATCAACTACACGTACCGCCGTCTAGTTTATAACATCTTGCATCTTTTGGATGGATGGATGGATGGATGGATGGATGGATGGATGGATGGATGGATGGATGGATGGATGGATGGATGGATGGATGGATGGATGGATGGATGGATGGATGGATGGATGGATGGATGGATGGATGGATGGATGGATGGATGGATGGATGGATGGATGGATGGATGGATGGATGGATGGATGGATGGATGGATGGATGGATGGATGGATGGATGGATGGATGGATGGATGGATGGATGGATGGATGGATGGATGGATGGATGGATGGATGGATGGATGGATGGATGGATGGATGGATGGATGGATGGATGGATGGATGGATGGATGGATGGATGGATGGATGGATGGATGGATGGATGGATGGATGGATGGATGGATGGATGGATGGATGGATGGATGGATGGATGGATGGATGGATGGATGGATGGATGGATGGATGGATGGAGGATGGATGGATGGATGGATGGATGGATGGATGGATGGATGGATGGATGGATGGATGGATGGATGGATGGATGGATGGATGGATGGATGGATGGATGGATGGATGGATGGATGGATGGATGGATGGATGGATGGATGGATGGATGGATGGATGGATGGATGGATGGATGGATGGATGGATGGATGGATGGATGGATGGATGGATGGATGGATGGATGGATGGATGGATGGATGGATGGATGGATGGATGGATGGATGGATGGATGGATGGATGGATGGATGGATGGATGGATGGATGGATGGATGGATGGATGGATGGATGGATGGATGGATGGATGGATGGATGGATGGATGGATGGATGGATGGATGGATGGATGGATGGATGGATGGATGGATGGATGGATGGATGGATGGATGGATGGATGGATGGATGGATGGATGGATGGATGGATGGATGGATGGATGGATGGATGGATGGATGGATGGATGGATGGATGGATGGATGGATGGACGGACGGACGGACGGACGGACGGACGGATATGGCTGTACCCTTTAGATCGGGCGGTGGCTAGCGTAATACTTAATGCCGTCAGCTACAAGTACCGCCATCTAGTGAACACTGCAAGAACTGAACGAGAGGTGGCTACATACAGGGGACGCACAGCCCACGCCTTAAGGAGCTTCGCCCCTAAAATGAGCACGTTGAAAGTCTGACGCCCTATGCTGTCTTGTCTAGTTTTTTCGTCGGTCTGTTTGCGCCACAGTTACTTCGTTATGTTACTGTACGCCGCTTAGCGAACATGATATTCTGGAGTATACATTGCGAATTGGCGCCACTAGCCTGCCCTTGGAACTATCATGTGCAAAGGTTCAGAGCTGACTGAACGACGTCGTGCTGGAACACAAGAACGCATGTGCTCCTGGCAAATCGCAATGTCGTCGATAATGCTGAAGCTGAATGCGTGGACCTGATGCAAAAGCTGATGCTGGCATAATACCGTGCCATTTTCTTGTCGTTACTTGTTCTCGTGGAAAATTGTTAGTCTCACTGTGCCCAGCAATATTTAGTTGAACGCTAAACAATGATGCTATTCATTGAAACTCCCATGCAAGGGGTAAAGAAAAGTAGGCCTTAATTCTGCTTGTTTGGCCTTGAAATGAATCGATATATAGATAGCAACTATTTTGTGTTGTTGGAAATTGCCATTGTCCCAGTGACCTTGTGGTGCCTTCATATTTTTCCTGCTCTTTCACCTGTTTCCGTTTTCCCTGAAATGGTGCAGTCAAACAAATATCTCTTCTTGTTATCATCGCCGTCTTTCGATTGCTTTGCTCTCTCTCAACATGTTTCGAGCTAGCTTTGTTGCCTAGGTTTATTTAGCTTTGTAACCTCAGAGTACTTCAACGTCGCTTAAGAATGTGCAACGTTTTCCTTGACCGTTTGTTCATGTGAGATATGTCTCTTGCAGAATAAAGTTTACATTTGGAAAAGATATCTTGTTCCCTATTCATAAGGACAGGAACACGTACCTTTTTACCATGCCTTTACCCAAAACCGCATTAGCTTTTGCGAATATTTATTAGATGCGAAGCAGCTCTTCGACTAGCCTGTGAAATCCCCGCCGTGGTGGTCTTGTGGCTAAGGCACTCGGCTGCTGGCCCGCAGGTCGCGGGTTCAAATCTTGGCTGCGGCGGCTGCATTTCTGATGGAGGCAGAAATGTTTTAGGCCCGTGTGCTCAGATTTGGGTGCACGGATTTGGGGCTAAAGAACCCCGGGTAGTCGAAATTTCCGGAGCCCTCCACTACGGCGTCTCTCACAATCATATGGTGGTTTTGGGACGTTAAACCCCACATATCAATCAAATCTAGCCTGTGAAACGCTGTCCCTCCGTTCGCACCGCTCCCTCCGCCGCTGGCGTTAGAGCGGTGACAAGTAGCTTACGCCCTCCTAGCAGTGTGCGGTGACGTCTCTCTCCCTCGCCGGCCGTGCGCTTGCTGCGTGTCAGCTCTCGCTCACTTCACCCTCTCCACCGCTCGCAACGCTCGAGCCCACTCCTCACGGCGGCATCATCTCACTTGCGCCACCCTCTCTCCATCTGTCAGCGAGAAGAAGCCGCTGACCGGCGGGTGCGCGCGCGGCGCCGACAATGTCGATGAGAGGGACGCCGTTGTGGTATGCTTTCCGCTGGCGTGCGCATAACTTCCGCGGCTGTCACGGGTGTTTCGAGGGTTAGCGAAGCCGGTCGCGTTCGCGAATGGCGACGTCAACACCGACGAAGCACGAGCCAAGGAAGCCGAATGGAAGCGTTGGCAGTGGAAGACCAGCGACACCAACGAGGTGCGGGTCAAGAACACCGATCGCGTTCGAAAATGCAGACGGCGCGCAGGTAACGCCGACGATACGCGAGCCGCACAAGCCAACACCACCTGGACTATTGACAGTGAATGGTCTAGGTGGTGTTGCACAAGCCGAGCACAAGCGTCTTCAACGCGTCCAGCCTTTCGTGTGTTTGCCGTTTTAAACAAACGCTTACTCAGTAAACGCCACACCGAGTTTCGCTTCTAACCGTTTTAAGTGTGAATACACTTTATAAGCGACCCCAAACCATCCACCGCCGTCGGCGGCGTCCGCAGTCTTCTCTCTATCTTTAAAAGAAAGAGGACTTGGCGGGCCGCAGCGTGACGCTCTACCGAATAAGCCACGGACGCGACGCTGATATCGGTGTCGCTCCTCCGCTCTCCTCGCTCGCTGCAGCTGCGCGCGCACCCCTCTCTCTCGCGCGCCCGCCTTCTCTCTCAGTCTCCCGTCGAGAGCGGGTCTTGCGATGGATGTCCCAGAGGCAACGCTACCATCTGGATATAAGGCGCGTCACTGACACCGATATATATATATATATATATATATATATATATATATATATATATATATATATATATATATATATATATATATATATATATATATATATATATATATATATATATATATATATATATACAGAGAGAGAGAGAGAGAGAGAGAAGACTGCGGACGCCGCCGACGGCGGTGGATGGTTTGGGGTCGCTTATAAAGTGTATTCACACTTAATATATATATATATATATATATATATATATATATATATATATATATATATATATATATATATATATATATATATATATATACTGGTTTTTTGCAGAGAAGTACTTTGCTTTGGGCTAGCTGTTTCATAGTACTCACTTAAAAAGGGCAGCGCAAAAACATGGGGAAAAGAAAAAGAGTATAGAGACAAAGAGCGCTCTTTGTCTCTACTGTCTTTCTTTTGCCCATGTGTTTGCGCTGCCATTTCTAAGTGAGTTTTCCCAGCACCCGCATCGACACCCGCTTCAGCTGGGTTAATGCCATGCGGACCGCTGCTGCTTCGCATCCCATCAGGGCTTCCTTCAGAGAGATGGTCTATAGTTTTTATTTCAATGGTTAATTTAGACGTGTCTTTACGAAAGTCCATTGATGCTGATCGTTTGTAAAAAACTAGCTTGGAAAAGTATCAGGGTGACTTCCAGTAGGGCGTGTTGGTGAAGGTTCATGATTAAACAAGCGCTAAAAATTACACGCACTCACAGAGCGCTTACTAGTAACTGAAAATTTTATTTTGAAGTGAACACTAATAAACAAATAAGATACACAAACTCAGAGAGGACACAGAGGAGCGCTTACTAGCGCTTATTAGTGTTATGTACGTATTAGTGTTTGCTTCGAAATAAAATTTTGAGTTGCTAGTAAATGCTCGTCTGTGTCCTCTCTGAGTGTGTGTAATTTTTAGCGCTTGTTTTATCATGAAAGTATCAGGGATCACACAGGCGGGCATGATAATAGGGAATTATATATACCCTCTCTGTTCTGAAGTTGTTCAGTGAGATTATGAGTTGTGAGGCCATTACGCTATTACTTCGCGATTGCAATGTTCTACAGACTGGACGCGCAAATTGTGTTTAAAAAAAGTGGTTGTAACGATTTGGAGTACTAGGTACCCTACTATGGGAGAGCGCTAAGCCGTCCCGTGAGTAGCAGAATGATATAGACTTTCTAGGCAATATCGATGGTTGAGAGTATTAAATATTGCAAGACAGGGTATGTGAATGGGGCCCATGGTTCAATAAGTGAGCTTCAGTTATTTATAGCCTAAACACTCTCATGACCATTCTAAGGCCTGCTTGCTCTAGGATTTTTTTTTTGAGAACACTCTTACATTTATGCCAGTACATTGGTATTACTCATATTAGGATCTTACGAAGCTTTTTTTGTCCAAGAGCTATTTGGTATTGGTGAGCTGCTTTGGTAAAGAAACACCTTTTTTGCCAGGCACGTCACCTTATGTATTGTTTCGCTGTAAGGACATCTTTATGAGAGTGTTAGCTCTACATTTCTTGACATATGCATTCTTATAACACGCGTATTAGGGCTGTTACTACAGTAACGCATTTTTATCTTGTCTTTCAGAGCTCCACCAGAAGAGGCCAAATCTGAAGGTATGAAAATCTAAGACATGTTTGGTAGATTCCTAATTTAGCACAACTGTATTGAAAAACAAAGATCACCGAGAGCTTGAAGTGACAAAGAATAACCCTATTGTATTATTCAGCTGGAAGTGTCATTGGGACTGTGATAAATTTCAATCGAGAAAGGTCTATGAAAGTAATCAAGAAAGTAATATGCTGTGTGAATAGTCAGTGTTTATCCAAAAATCTCTCTTGCGTTTCGCCGGGTCGATAAAGGCGAGAATGCTGTAGGCATGTGTGCTCAAATTTGGGTGCACGTTAAAGAACTCCAGGTGGTCGAAATTCACAAAGCCCTCCACTACGGTGTCTCTCATAATCGTATGGTGGTTTTGGAGCGTTAAACCCCGGAAATCAAACCAATCGTTTGCCGTGTTATTCATCGTGGTACCGTGAAGGCGGGTAGATGTCGCATTGGTCATATGCGTGTGCATTGCGCAATCTATTTCAAGTATTCTCAATTGAAACGTAGAAATAATGAGTGTGTGTATATCACTACGTCCGAATAATTAATTCTAACATCCTTATGTGGGAATAAATTCTTCATGAGTGTGGAAATTGACATGCGTGCATCTTTTTGGCCATTACAGGTGAAGAGCAACCGCAGGATATGGTGCAGCAGGAACTTCCAAGAGAAATTCTTGTCACTGCACTTCCAGACACTTATACGAGCGACCCTCGCCTTTCACAAGTGATCACGTCTACGGCTCTTATTCGACCGCAGTATCCTTTGGAAGTTCATATGGCTGGCTCAAATTCGGCGCTTGAGATGCCGGTGGGTGCGCGCGGACTGACTACTGCGTCGATGATGACGTGCGTTCCACAGGGCATGCAGGAAGTAGAAGGCGAGGCGAGGCTTTCTTCCAAATCCCAAGCCGACGCCATTGCTCAGGGAAGGGCAGCTCCGGAAGAGCAGTCGAGCGACTCCGATGTGCTCTATCTCGGAGTGTCCAGGAACAGCTTGTCACCGGGATCCGAACACAGTGGAGGAGACCATAGAACATCGGTGATGACCGAAGCTGACAAAGTATCAGAGAGATCGAGATCCGCGGACAACAATGTGACCCAAACCGCAATTGCGCAAAAACACCGCGCGGGGGCGCCTGAACCAATAAACTTAAGCGATGCAGCCAGACGAGCCGAAATGTATGGTACAGCAAGGGACCACTATTCCTTCTTTCAGCCTCATTCATTTACCATGTCTGATCATCAAAGATGGCTCGACGAACGTCGCTACCACGAAATGATGAACGCTCGTGGGCCTGTAGGACAACAGGGACACCTCGCTCCGTCACAGATTTCGCCCGAGTTGAGCCAGAGAAGGCACTCAGGAGGGTCGCTGATGATGCCGAATCGCATGGAGATGCCGCCACAATATAGGCCTCCGGTGTCTGAGCGCTCGCCGATGCTACGACAAGTTCCACCTCCCCACCAAGGCCTGTCTCCCCATCAAGCTCTGTCGCAGCACCAATCAACTTCGTCGCATCAGCCGCATCTGCAGCACCAGTCATCGCATCAAGCCCAGCTTACGCAACAAGCGGTTCACTCGCAACAGCCTCCGCCGTCGCACCAGGCAAATTACTCACACCAAGGGCAGCCTTCCCATCCACCGCTGCCGCCCCACCAGGGACAGCTCTTGCACCAAATGCCAGTATCACATCAGATACCGATTTCGCGTCCTCCTCAGCAAATGCACCCAGCGGGTTCGTATTACCCATTGCCTCGTGCACATCAAACGCAACCAGGCGTTCAGAATTTTCAACCACTTCCAGCTCTGACACGTGACACGCCGCTTCGCAACGGCAGGCCAGAACTCTACCAAGCTCAGCAGCGCTACAAAACCATGGAACAAGCGTATGGAATGACTCCTCACGCTCAACAACTGGGTCCGTATGCTGTTCCTCAATTGCCAAAACAAAACTCTGATCCTTCTGATAAAAACATGTCCCCAGCGACTAGAAGTCTTCACCTAAAAGATGGCAAGGCGGAACCTTCGTACAAAGAAATCGGTGCCAGCCGATCAGAAGGAATGGGGCCTGGGGCACCGCCGACTGCTCCAGGCAACGCGAAGCCTCCAGCAACTTCACCCCACACACAACGACCAGAATCAGCCGGCCATTCTTCACAGACGAGCAGTCTCAAAACAGAAATGGAAATGCTAAAAGACGAGTTGAAATACTTGGATGCCTTAGCCGCTCAAAAGGAGGCTGAATACGAGACGGTGGTGCAAACGAGAACAGAAAAGCTTAAGACCTTAACGCAACTCGAAGCTAGATATAAGCGGTCGCTCGAACAGCCACAGCCGTATTCGAAGGAGGACGTTCGCTATCCTGGTACGGCTGCTGATGTTCGTCAGGGACAAAGACCAGCTTCTTCACAGTCAGAGAAAGCATCCCTTGTAGATGATCCGAAAGCTGTTCCGAAGCAAAGGCCATCATCAGTCGGTGGATCTGGCCAGCAGAAGACGTCGCCCCCAGCTCTGTCCTCTCCGCTTGCGAAAACTTCACCTGGACATCCAGCAGTCCCTGGACTTATTCCTTACCCACTTTCACATCCTCCGCAACAGGCCAGACCACCACTGTCACTTGCTTCGCATCCCAACATTCCCTTAAACATGCCAATTATGGGAGCCGGTATGTTCAACATGCGAAATATGGAGCTGCAACGAGATTTCTCGCCCATGCTGGGTCCTCAGCCGCTCAACTCACCACTGGTGCCAGGTTACGGCCGCCCGTACTATTCGCTCGATAGGAACAAGCACCCGAGCCTTCACCATATGGAAGCGGCAAAACCTGCCGTCAAGCGAAAATACTCGCCTGGTAGTGCCCCTAGCCTACCGCAATCTAACGGTGAAATGCGCAGCACGTCTTCCCAGCGTTCCACCATGGTGCCGACGGGACAGCGCCAGAGGGAGTCTGAGAAGGTCACCGCGCCGTTGAGTCAAGAGCACGCGCAATGGCTTCATGCCATGAAGTCCCGCGAGGCTCAGGGCGCGCCACCTGGCTATCCCACTGGTGTTCAGAGCGCTTTCCAAACGTACGGTTCATTTCCCAACAGGCGTGTCTTACCAGAAGACCTGCCCTTAAATCCCGCAATGAGCAACGCCGCCTGGAGCAACTACGCGGAAGGTCTCCACGGACAGTATGCTCTGCAGATGGCGAAGCACGGCTTGTATCCGGGGCATCCCACGTGGAGTGGCTCTGAGAAGCAGCAGCAGCAACGCGTGGGTGAGGCTGAAGGCGCCGCTATGCTAGGGAGGGAGCCTCCTGCTAAGAGACCATCCCGTGAGGAACCAGTCATACATCAAATGTCGAAAGACAGGCACATGATGCGACCCGGTGACAAGCCTGTTGCCCATGCAGCGTTGCTGGCTAGTCAGGCGCCACCCCAGGAACAGGCTCTGTCGGCACAGGTAATTGCGTAACTATCTTCAGGAACCGCGATAACGTTCTTTGTAGTTGCAAAAAGAAGCCTTAGTGCACAGTCGAGAAATCGTTGTCTGTTTACATGTTAGTCGGGGTGGTTATTATGTTGTCAACTATGTTAAGTTGTGACGAGCGTTTTGACTCTGAAAGTTCTATAAATATGGAAGTTGATATTTGAGAACGTGGAATATGAAATAACAGCTAGTTGTTCAGTATATTACATGTTGAAAATGCAGTAGAGCATACTAGTACTGTCATTATGAAAAAAAAGAACTTTTTTAGAGCGTTTTTTTGTTTTTCTTTGTAACGAGGATGTTGATATTAGCTTTGGTGTGGTCACTTAACTTAAGCGCATATGCATTACTGCTTCAGATAATCCTCATCGATCATAACACCTCAGCCAACGTACATGCGTCCTGGCTAAATATATCTAGTTTTAAGGAGTATGTGCTGGCTGGCAATGCGAAGTTGATTATATGATGCGCTTTCGTTATTCCGCGAATTAGTGCAATCTCAAAAGCCACTTGCAGAAATTGGACTTATACTTCTGTATTTCATATGTTCAAGCGAGCGGAAACCCCGGTGCGGTGGTCTAGTGGCTAAGGCACTCGGCTGCTGGCTCGCAAATCGTGGGATGGGAATCCCGGCTGCGGCGGCTGCATTTTCGATGGAGGGGAAAATGCTGTAGGCCCGTGTGCGTAGATTTGGGTGCGTGTCAAAGAACCCCAGGTGGTCAAAATTTCCGTCTCTCATAATCATATAGTGGTTTTGGGACTATAAACGCTACAAATTATTATAACCAAGAAGAAACGAACGACACAAATATAAATATCTGCGTAGGTACTTTCTGCTCGATTGCGAACTGAAAAGGACTGCCGCTTGAGCGATAAATTTCACGCACTCATTAGCCTAAGTGATTGTTCAATACATCGTGATAATCTTGTTAATGTCAGTTGGAAGGATGTCACTGCATTCAGACTAAGACCTTCTTGCTTGATCTTAAGATTTTATGACATGCTGAGGCATCTCAAATAACTTGCATAGCTGCATGTGCTCGTTCCACGCATTCGGTGTACCTCTGTTGTCTGTGTGTTAGGACTAGGTCATTAACATTTCTTTGAAGAATACAACTTAACTCGTTGTTAGGTAATACATGATCAATTTTTCCAGTTCCTACAAGTTTATAGTTGGTATGTTCACAGAATTATTATTTTATTAGTATTTCCATTGTTCTCAAGGATTGCAGGTAACAAAAAGAGCTTACTCTTTCTTCGACTGGGTGAAATCACCCATGATTGCGTGCTAGATTTATGTACCTCGGAAAAATGTGCCCGTGCGTGTTTTATTCTCTTTACTATGATGAACAGCTCATCGGCGTCACCGACAAGCTAGTTCTGGTACTGTGGCAGATGCTAAATGGGGCATAAAGTGAGTTTGCACATTTCGGCGTTACATTTATTGGATGCGGGAAATCCTAAATAAAGAGGAGCGTAGTGGTAGCTAAACGAAATAAGACACCTACCCGCAGATTAAGATATATTGAATGAACGAAGCAAAGGCGGATTTAACCGGCACATCTAGGCATATTAGTAGTAACAATTGTGGGCTACTTTTTGCTTGGATCGTTCTCTGAAGTTACGCGACAACAGAAACAGATGTTATTGGGAGAAGCCTTGGTTCTGAAGTGGACCTGAATAGGCGAATAATGTCGATGATGATGATGATGTTCTCATTTGTATTGCAGTGTATGCAGGCGTTTTGTCAGCCGCATTCATACCTCTTTTCTTAACTTAACACTTAGAGCTACGATGCAATGCCTACTTCTTCTATATTATTTTCTTTTGTTACAGGCTCCTCCGGTGCCGCAGAACCCGCAGAGCAAGAACAACACTTGTGTGATGTGTGGCCAGCTTGCCCAGTACATGTGCTCCGGCTGCCAGAACATATGGTACTGCGGGCCGCAGTGTCAGGTGAGCAACTGACACTGCAACCGTTTTTTTTTTGTGCTTAAAGTGCATCGCGTAGAAGCCCCCGCCTGCGGTGGGGGCAAGAGCCGCACACTGATCGTTCCCACGGAAATCATAAGTGCCCCCCCCCCCCCCTCCTTGTTCGCTCACGAGATAAGCTCCCGCTCAGACGACTGCGGCCGGAAAGGCGATGTTCGCTTCGCTTAAAGGGGAGGTTAGCGCAGTTTCCGCCGTGTATATATATATATATATATATATATATATATATATATATATTGACGCGCGTTTACATGTGGACGATAACGATGATGGGACATTTAGGGGGCACAAGGTAGTGGGCCTCCAGCTTCTCTCGAGGCCGAAGAAGACAATCTTGTGGCTCAGCTGTTGAGGACACGCTGCTTTCGTCATCCCAAGGTGTATCTGCGTTTTATTCGCGTTGTACCGCGACACTGTTGAAGGTGCTGGGCCGCAACCCTGCCTGATGCTCCACAATCTCACTAAGAGCCGTTCATCGAGTCCAGACTCATTGTCACCAGTTGTAACTCCTGTGCGTCGCTTCAGTTGACGGTTACGAAACCTCGCGCCACAGCGCACTCACTCGCCGGAACCTCCCAGGCACCGCTCACCTCAACCTCAAGCCCGCAACAGGTGCCCCAAGGCAGCTTTCCGACGCACCAATCTCACGTAACGATCTTTCAACCCCTCGTTCCCAATCGCTTTAGTGGCGGCCCTCATGAAGACGTTGATGACTGGTTTGACCACTACGAGCATGTTTCCAAGAAGAATCAGTTGTCGGAACAGGAGAAGCTTTCTCGCGCCTATTTCTACTCTGACGATGGTGCTCGCACTTGGTATGGGAAGAGAGAATCCCAATCTGTCTGCTGGGCCCGACTTTCGAAAGAAGTTCATCGATACCTTTGCCAATGTCGATCGACGGGACCGTGATCTGCAGTTATTGGAGCTACGGGTTCAAAAACCCAACGAAACCGTTGCAATGTACGCCGAGGACATGACTCGTCTCTTTCGTCGAGCTAACTCGCACATGACGGAAGATTAAAAGTTGAGTTACCTCATGCGCCGTGTTAAGGAACAACTTTTCGCCGAGCTACTGCGCAACCCTCCAAGTACCGTGGTTGACTTCATTAAGGAGGCCAGGGCTATCGAGCGGGCCCTTCATCAACTGCTGCAGGCAATATGACCGCATGGCCAGCAATGTCTCAATCAATGCTACCGCCATTAGGTCTGAGAGTCAGAGCTCCTTGCCAGACTTGATTAGGGATATATCTCGTGAAGAACTGCAGAAGTTACGGACTGCGGTTGCTGAAACTCCCATTGCGTCGGTCGTTGAAGTCGTACGTGACGAAATCCACCAAGCGTTTTCTACGGCTGGACCTGATGCTCAGCAGCGCCCCATGAGCTACGCTGGCGTTCTCCGACGTCCACCACCCGCTATGCCGACGCCGTACTGCCAGGTGCCAATAGCCCTTGGTCACCGCTGCAAGAGCAGACACTGCGACAACTGCCCATGCTACAGCCATACAACCCGCCATCCACAGTCACGCCATGGGATATGCTAAGACGTCCACCGACCCGAAAAACAGATGCATGGCGCACAGTGGACAGGTGTCCACTATGCTTTCACTGCGGAGGTTCAGGCCATATTGCCCGTCTTTGCTGGCATCGAGGTGATTCACTCCGTCCTCTTCAACCTTGGTTTGACGGTTGACGTGCCAACGATGAATGCACTTCACACCGCGATGACACCTCTTTCAATAAAGCCCGTTCTCACTTTAAAGACGACTGTATTACTGCAGAGGAGGCAATGCCTACTCACCCGCCTGATCTGGGACGTCAATCCCTCTCTCCGTTTCTCGCGCGTTCGCTTTGTCGCACCGCCGCACCTACGCGGACCTTGATACAAGAAGGTCACAGTAGCCCACGCCAGGGAAACTGAGGGCGGCGACTTCCAGGGCAAGGTTGCAGGCCATAAAGATGACGACGAAAAGCCCCCACTGCATGATGTTGTACAGCCGATAAGCCGTAAAAGTGGTGAAATTGTGGCGGCCGACCTTATTGTTCTTCTTGACGGCCAGAAAGAGGCTGCTTTAGTCGACACCGGTGCCGACTTCTCTTTTATCAGTCAGGACCTCGCTGAGAGCCTCAGAAAAGTGAAGACGCCGTGGACGGGCCCTCAAATAAGAATGGCAGGGGGCCAGATATTGATGCCCTCTGGAATATGTACAGCAAGAATTGGCATCAGAGGTTTTCCTTTCACTGCGTCGTTCGTCGTTATCACCGCATGCTGCAGAGATGTAATTATTGGCATGGATTTTTTACGAGAATATGGCGCCGTCATCAACATCCCAGAGAGTTTCATTGCGTTTTGCAACAGTTCAGGCTTACTCAATTTTCCAGAGGCGTGACCAAACCAAGTGCATCTTACTGATGACGATGCGGTTGTCCCGCCTAGATCATGCATGCTAGTTTCTGTGGCCGCCACTGCCCAGTTTGACGCCGAAGGAGTTGCAGACCAAATAAGCTCGCTTCTCTTCACCCTCAGTATTTCCGTCGCACGAGGTATCGTCAGAGTTTCTGTTGGACGCACGGACTTGCTGCTGATCAATTTCAGTGCTGAGCGCCGGCACCTTCCAAAAGGCACGGGTGTCGCTTATTTCGACGATGTCGTAGATGCCGAAAGCTGCTTGGCGGTATTCGACGAGGCGCTAAATCTTGATTCAGCGCCTGTTCTGGACGTTAGCATTACTTTGCCGAAAGACGAGCGACGCAGACTCCTTGAGCTACTGGCCGAATTCCAAGACTGCTTTTCGACAACATCAAGAGTTAGCCGCACGCCTCTACTACATGCATCTAATAATTACCAAGGAAACGGCGAGACCTATTCACCAGAACCCTTAGTCGCGTAGCTCCAAAAGAACGCGAAGCGATACAACAGCAGGTTGTTATGCCACATGCATGGTCCTTGTTCGGGATCGCTTCTTCCCACGAGAACCAGCGCTTTTCCGGACGAACTGTCCCTTCTCCCAGCGCCAAGTTCCACGCAGGCAGGCGGCAAGCCACCGTGCAGTTCTGGGGAAAGTTCCGCCTCTTCCGCCAAGCACCAGGAACTGGTCTCAGAGAAAGGACCAACAACGTATTTAAGGCCGCTGCCGGCCACTTGTTTGAGGGTTTTGCCCCAGCCGACTTTGTCGAGCTGGCCGGCTTTGTACTAACTATAACCTGCTATAGTAAACGTTCCTACCTGTTACCGCTTTCACAACGATTGCCTCCCTATTCCACCTCTGGGTGAAGGCTTCAGCGATGTACGTTCTACTGCTCGCCTCTCTCGGCTACCAGTTGCCATCGAAACACAGCGAATTCGTAACAGTGGTCGCAGCGGTGGGATGCCATCAAACCCGAAATTTCAACAAGGTAGACAGAATGCCTGAAAAGGACGCCATTCAGCCTTCACAGAGCCACTGGGCGTGGCCTGTGGTCCTCGTTAAAAAAAGAGCGGCAGCCTGCGTTTCTGTGTGGATTACCGGAAGCTAAATCAGGTGACCAAAAATAGGTATATGCACTGCCCTGTATAGACGACTTTCTCAGCAGCTGAGCTGCAACCCCAGGTGGTGAAAAATGTCCGGAGCCCTCCACTTAGGCGTCTCTCATAATCATATTGTGGTTTTGGGACGTTAAACACCGCAAGTCAAGTCAGTCAACAGCTGAGCCGCAAGATCGTCCTCTTCGTCCTCGAGTAAAGCTAGAGGACCACTACCTGGTGTCCACTAAATCCCCTATCATCGTTTTCGTACACATTTAGACACGCATCAATATGACTGCTATCGCAATAGAATATCACTATCCTGACCAGAAGCCTTTGTCGATTGCATGTAGAATACGGTAATTCTTTGTTGTCACAAAACATTTGTGCCCGAAAGAAAAGCCTACCTACACTGTAAATGTGCTCAATAGCCGCGCGGGACGTGGCGCATTTTGTACTTAATTGCCCTTGCATGTGAGTGTATATTTTCGAGTGCCCGTGTGATCGCTAGTGTCTAAAAATTCTTACCGGAAATATTGATAGCTGTGTATGTTGCTGCGGCCCTTGCAAACATTATAAGTAAAAGCTAGTTATCTTAACAGGCACCAGCAGACGGCTCATGCCTTTGTACGTGCTTTGTTCTCTTCACAAAGTCTGCGTTTAAGTTACAGGCCGTAAAAATTGCCATGGAAAGCACAAATACAGCGCGAAGCATCTTGAACATTTGTTTTCCTTCTTTATGTAATGAAATCAGAGTAATGAGATTGGCTGAGCTGTGTAACAATAAACGAGCTCTAAAATATAATAATATAAATTTATGCTTGCCGATTTCCAAATTGGCGAGTACAGTAAACGATGTCGACTCCATAGCAGGGCAATGTGAAAGTGATAAAGTAAATCTGAAGTATATATATGACAGTAAACTTGGGAATAACTCGTCAAAAGTGGTTACCCGTGTTCAAATGAAAAGTAACCTAGAAATAAAGAGAAAAAAGGCCTACACATTCATTGTGCAACAAATTTTCAGTGTCGTAGCATGTTTGTACAACGAAAGCTTCAATGTGTTTAGAAGAAGTATTCAACGCTTCAGTACTTTGTACTTTACTATGGGGGAGCAGAAAGTTGTGCCTGCGTTTGTTCTATAGCGCAAGACACCGTAGTAACATGAGCATAGCATTATGCAATGAAAGAGCTGGACATGAAACACCTTCTCCATACGAGGCAAAGCCACAGTCATAAAGTTATAGCACTATGGTTCAAAGCCTGTTAACTCGTGTGTAAATTGAGATACAATGAAATGAATAAATGTGCAGATAACCTTTGATGCACAGTGAAAATTGTTGAGGTGGAAATTAGTTTTTCCCTTCCCAGAATTCTTTTTTTTTTGGCATCAGGATCCATGTTTTCATATTGTATTTAATTTGTTTTCTGTTAAGAAATGGGCTTAACTTCTGTACGATGCAGTCAATTAATTAAAAAAAGATTTGAACAGAATGATACGTGGAAGTGGAAATAAGCCTCCATTTTCTCGTGGGTCTTAGTATTGTAAATGCTTTCACATTACTTGGGATGATTTTATTTGAGTTTCATCTGTAAATTTGTTCTGCACCTGTTCTGGAACTATGCTGCACATGCACTGATTGTATGGTGCACAGACTTAAGGAATGTTTCGCTTTTTTTTTACATACCATCTCATTCAGGCTGCGCAGGTATGTTCTGATTCACTTATGTTCTTCCTCACATTGTCGCTTTAACGCTTTATTTTCTTTCTTTTTTTTCGTCTGTTTCAAATAGTCTATCTTCAACACCTATAAAATATTCATGTTTGTGAAGGTGCAGGCATATTTAACATCACTGCTGCACTTAACCTGCAGCATTCTGTATTCCTTTTCTTTTTTGACACCGGTTTTTTCTCCTGCTGTTAAGCCTTGGAGCCTGTACGTATCGCAGATGTGTTGGACTTAACTGCGGTCCGCGTAATACACATAAAGAAAAGTACGTGGTGGAAGAAAGCAGTGACGTTTTGCAATGAATAGGAGCCTGCAAAAGTAACAGCCTTACATTGTGAACTGAGGATTACGTGGTTGTGGTAGCGAAAAAAAGGTCCCTAAACACCATCATGCTTTATGAAAAAACACGCAGTGAAAAGCAGATGCTGCTGTGAACAGCTCACTAAAATCTTGCAGTCGTGCGGTAAAAGACAATGTTTGAAGTTTTATTACTACTTGAAAACACAACATTCATAAAAAAGAAGGATGCCGGCATAAAATGTACTTTGGGGCAGCTTGACTTCTCCCATCTTCCCATGCAATAACTGCGTCAACATTACCATGACTTTCAATGAGTACACTTGTTGCAATATCCAAATAGAAATACACAGAGCAAAACAAAATGAAAATGAGGATTTTGTAACTAATAGGAAATCAGTGCGAAACACTTTTCAAGTAGCGCAAAAGTAAGGTTAACATTCAAAACAGCAAGCAATGCGTTTCAAGTAAAGTGACGTATGTTTTCTCCGCATAGCTACTATTTGTTTATTTTTGAAGAAAACAACAAGAAAGTGTTTGGAGGCTTTATTTTATGCTTAGTCGAAGAACTGCCCAATCTTCTGTGTATCGGTCTGGGTGAGTTTATTGGCTGGTTAGCAAGTTCGCAGAGAGTCTGATGGGATTAGTGCTCTTAACTGTATAACGCATAGAGGAGCTGATAACCCTCAAGAGGAGCTGATACTCCTCTTTAGGGTAGTGTCAACCTACCTGTAATGTTTTGAGAGTGATTGCCAATTGTGCTTCACCCCATTCTTATTCTTCTAGTTACTTCAGTCTCGTGATTAGGCTCCGCGGTTATTACCTGTCCTAATTAGGTCTATAACAGCTACACCTTGCTGGTACTTAGCTACGGAGCAAAAACCTGGAGACTTTCAAAGAGGGTTCAATCACGAGATTTAAGTAACTAGAAGAATAAGAATGGGGTGGAGTATATTTGGTAAGCACTCTCAAATTATGACAGGTAGATTGCCACTATCCCTCAAGAGGAAGGTATATAATACCTGTATCTTGCCGGTACTTAGCTACGGAGCAGAAACCCGGAGACTTACAAAGAGGGTTCAATTTAAATTGAGGACGACACAGCGAGCAATGGAAAGGAAAATGGTAGGTGTAATTTTATGAGATAAGAAGAGAGCAGAGTGGTTTAGGGAACAAACAAGGGTTAAGGATATCATAGCTGAATTTAAGAAAGGCAAATGAACATGGGCCGGGCATGTAGCACGTAGACAGGATAACCTCTGATCATTAAGGGTAACTAACTGGATTAATAGAGAAGGCAAATGGGTTAGGGGGAGACAGAAGGTTATGTAGGCAGATGACATTAAGAAGTTTGCGGGTATAAATTGGCAGCAGCAAGCGCAGGACTGAGTTGACTGGGGGAACATGGGAGAGGCCTTTGTCCTGCAGTGGACGTAGTCAGGCTGATAATGATGATGATGATGATGATGATGATGATGATGATGATGATGATGATGATGATAAAGCAGCTGATACTCATATAGGGGGTCTACTCGGATAATTTCGAATTTCTATTTGTATGTGATGCAAGCAGAGTTGACAAGTGGAGTTGATGCTTTCTCAAGTGCTCTCTCTCTTCCCAAAGGCCCGTCCTCACTCTCCTCGGAAGAGCGTCATACAACACATCTTTTTTAATTCATCAGGTTGCTAATATTGGCTGATATGTCACATAAATCAGCCGTGGCATTTGGGCCAGATGCTCTTCTTTCCGCTACGCCCTATAGTGTGCTAAAATGACACAGTAAAGACGCTAGCGCGCACCGAGATAACGCCGGGAAAGAGCCTTCGCGTTTCATGTGCCATGCCGAAAGTCTTGACGTAGCTTATGGTGTGAAAAGTAACACGAGAGAAGGACAAGCGTCATTTTCGCGCCGTAAGCTACAGTCGTGAATGAACCAACTCGCCCGACAAGTCATTCTGCTGGAGGTCATGCCGAACGTTACGCTCCTCCACAAGGATTGTTCTTGCGCTAGCTGGTGCTTGCTAGTAATCATGCTGATGCGCAGATACGAAACGGAGACCAGAATGACACAAAACAGGGCGGCTGTCGTGTGTGCGTTTTGTGTCTGTTTTGTTTTTTTGCACTAAAGCAGTAGTAGTGTTATGTCGCTTCTTTCCTCCGCGTCATCCCTTCCTGTGTAGCTTCCAGGATGCTCATCGGCACGAAAGAAGCGAGAAAGCGCTTAAAGCGTGCGACAAATGTTTATAACTCGCTCGCACTGACGATCTCAACTAGTTTTTTCCGGGGATGGATTCGTGAGCCAATAAACTTTGATTCTGAGGTCAACCAATCATAATTTGGAAAGGAGGTATAGAACCCAAATAAAACGAGGGCTACAGCGTTAGTTCTTTTTCAAGTTTGGTATCATCAAAAAATATTTAGATAACTGGGCAACTGATGGGATGGCTTGTACTATCGCGCAACAGAAAACTAAGAGACAAGAAATGACAAACGGTCGGTGCATGTCGTTTCTTCTTTTACTCAAGTTTCTTAGCATGCGTGATGCCACTCAAGCAGACCAAACTTTGACTCGTGTGCTGCCGAGTGCAATATATTGTGGACATTGTTTTTCACTGTGAACATTGCTTAAGTGAGTGTAACTGCTTACACGAATCCTAACGGCTAATGCAAACTTTGGCAAAGTGATTGCTTCTAAGAGTGCTTCGTTGCTACCGTAACAAGGCATTTCACTTAATATTGTGAGAACCTTGCGTGTGCTAAACAAGAGGCTATAATGAATCTTAGCATGCCTTAAAGGTGTTGGAAGTCTCTTCCTGTGGCGTAATATTGTTATACGAATATACTCCTGAATTCCAGGTGCACATATGAGTGTTTTAGAGACAGCTAGATTCCTAGCGAGTTAGTAATTGACGAATGTTCACTGTATATTTTGTAATATCCACGTCACTTCATACGACTGTTGAATGTGCTCGTTTAGGCAGTACGCCGGAAAAACGATTGTTTCGTTAAATGTGGCATAGAGTAAAGTTTTAGTCGCAGTTTTTAATTTCACATGCTAGTTTTAGCATGTAACGATGAAATTAAAGCAGAATATGTGCTGAGACATGCTTATTAACCCATTTTTGTGAATTGGGTCTGCTGAGGAAGCGCACTAAATATAGAAACCTCGAAATCTTTGACTACTTTAGGACGCTTGTAAGCTTTGAAGTTGTTTTTAAGTAGTATGTTGGTCGTAATTTTAGTCAAAGGGCAAGATTTATTGTACGGCCAGTTACGTAAATAGCATAGTTCGCTTGAAGCTGCGTGCTGACAGTAACCTGTTGAATCGTCAATGTAAATGTCACTGGCCTGCTTTCACTCTGTGCTGAGCAAAGAACACGCTTGGCTAGCACAAGTGTTCTCGCTCGCGAATTAAATCGATATTGTAACTGCTATATATTGAGCAGAGCAGCGGGATTGAAGCACTCAGTGTGCGAGCACGAGGCCCATTCACTCCACTACCCACCATGATAGCACCGCAGTAAACGTCACGCTGCTAAGCTCGGCATTGTTTGGATTTCCCATCACGGCGCCAATCTTTCGATGTGGGTGAAATAGAACAGGCGTGTATGTACATGCCTGTTAATGTACCTCCCGTCAGGGAAGATTAATGCGGCTTGCCTCATATTCATATCGTGGTTTAAGCATTTTAAAATTCCTAAAGGTTAATCGCATGAGAGTTAACTATAGTATGCCGTACATCTTTTGTGTCTTTCGATCGTCCGACTGTGATTCTCGCTGATTCATGTGCTTGCACAGCCCATATTCTTAAGCCACATTGCGTTAGACCATACGTTCTTAAGAAAAAAAAAGTGAAATACTGGAGGTTCCAAAACAGTAAGACGACTGTGATATGTCTTTTATATAACCGATTTTTTCTTTTTCAGAGGAACCACTGGGTTAGCCATTCCAACGTCTGCATGGGGAGCAAGCGTTGATGGCTCGTGTCAATGTGTCTCACCGTGGCCTAACGCTGAAGAAACGTGGCATGGCGAGGATATTGTGGGCTCTGCTTCGATAAGCAAGCAGTACTGATCTCGTGGTGGGCCCGCAAAGCTCACCGGGCTGAATCTTTTGTACGACTCAATCGAGACCTCGGCCTGGAAGAAAGCTGTGCGACGCTTGACAGAACACGCGGAGAATCTCCTTCAAAAGTGAATGATGCGGGACCCAGGAGTATCGGCGATCTGCGTGTTCCGTGCCATATGTTTGCATGCAGTGTTGCGTGTACCGCGATCGTGTTTGTGTTTCTTTTTTTTTCGCACTATATTGCGTTTTTGACTCCTCCGACAACTGCTGCGTCGTGAATGGTCGAAAAGATGGCGCCAATTCCATGTTTACTGCCGTGCTCTAGTCAAAAGTTTTGTTTTCCTTGGCTACTACGTTTGAATTATGGCGGCGAAAAAAACATTTGTTCGCCATTTCACCATCTTCATCGTAGAGCTCTCGACGATGCAATGACATTGTGAACAGTTTCCAACGAGGAAGAATGGCACGAGCAGTGTTAACACCATTTTACTTTCTGTTGTTTTTGATCTTGAGTTTTTTGCGAGCTTGGCTGGAATGATATCTGGTCAGCTGTGACTTCTATTTTAGGCCATGACCAAAGACATTGAACATTGTATTGTTTTTGCCAGTGACCGTCAAGTGACTCACTTGGCTGGTGCAGCGAGATTCAAAGTTATGTTATGTTTTTTTTTTACCAGTTTCACTTGCGCCATTTTTATCTCCTCCTTGGGGGAGCTTAGTGCTGAACGATATTTATGAGGGCGTGCCCGTTTCGTACCATATAACTCATCTCCACTCCACTCCCATAACCGTTTATGTTCTTTCTTGTTCGCTTTGTACGCAAGAAAACTTGAATCGCATGCGTACTCAGTGAGGGTTAAGACGTTTTTGTTACCTAGAAGTTGTATATTCTCTTGTCATTCCATCATTGTTCATTCTCGATACATTTCCAGATTTATTTTTTTACTCAATGAATTGCCGTTGACAGTGTTGATTGAAAGAAGTTTGAAGCGGTGCTTTCTAGGCTACACCATGCACCATTTCGGTAGGTGAAATAGGTGCATATCAAAGTGTGGTCTTATTTGAGCTCGCTTCGTGGTCTTCATTCTAATGCCGAGTTTTATTCTTTATAAAGCATAATAGAGTCATACGAGTATAAATGGTTGATATGTGGGGTTTGACGTCCCAAACACAAGTATAAATGAAAACAGTAATTTATCACTCAACAAATTTTTTGCTAATGGTTTGCAAAACATGCCATACTGAATAGAAAGAAGAGTGTATCGATGACCATAGTCTAGAATGATTGCCCACTGCCATGCAGTTACACATACTGACAAAGTTTTCTATGAGAAAATGTGGAAGGGCAGTGCCTTATGCTCAAATGATCGATTCATATAGTACTGTTAAACTAGTTCAGCAGTATTCTTTTATTCAACGTAACCAATCCAGTCATTTTCTATAGAAAAACCAGGAAAACCAAAGAAATTCTATATGAGTCGCAGTACTTCTAATAAACCTCCAGTGCCGCCGACCCATTTCTCGCATTAATAGTTTCGTGCCATAGGAGCTACTGCATGTTGTGGTGCCATATTTTTCTTCTTTCAACCGAGCTCCACAAATAAAGCTCGGTCTGTTGGGCCACAGAGAGCGTTGTTCTGTGTCGGAAACCTTAAGAAAAAAATTGCCCGCAGCTTCCCTCGGGGGAACACTGAGGAGGATGCGGAGCATATAATTGGTTAACGGGGTGTTAAAGTGCGACTTACTTGGGTCGATGGCTAAATTGGTTAACGTGGTTGTGAAATGGGGTGTTAAATTGCGACTTACTTGGGTCGATGGCTAAATTGGTTAACGTGGTTGTAGGAGGGGGTGTTAAATGAGTGAACACGTACACACGCATGCGAAAGGGCGGCGCTGGTCGAAGGGACGTCGATCATTGTGTTTGTGGATTCGTTGGAATTCATTTCACCGCGACCTTGGACGTCGACGCGCCGTACAAACCAACCGACGAGCGGCAACTGAGCGAGCGAGCGCCGACCTTGAGTATATATGCTGACGGCGCATGCACTGTCAGCTGTTGAATGTTCTCGAAGCGCGACGCCACATGCGCGTCCACTGGAGAATCGGGAGAATTGTAGATGTCGAACGCGGTGTGTAGAGGAGGAAGGGTGCACAGATGGTGGAGGAGTGAAGCGCGCGCGGTGTGTAGAGGAGGAAGGGATGCACAGATGGTGGAAGAGTGGGCGACGGCGCGACGGCGCATGCGCGCGCGTCAGCTGTCGAATGTTCGAGAAGCGGTGCGGACGGCGCGGACGGCGCACTACAAGGCGCGAGTATAAGATGCTTCCGCATCTAAAAAACATGTTACATGCTGGTGTGACATAATGAGATTAGCTATTATGTAATCAGCCTGATTAGTTTTATACATAAAGATATACTTTCTTACGATTGTCAACTGGTTTCTCCGAAGCTTGGAAGGTAGTGAAGATTCATGATATGAAAGGAAATTTCGCATACACTTTCATAGCAACAAAATGATTAGCAAACATGCTCCGGTTTCTGCGAAATACAGCCTTGCAGTTTAAAAAGTTCCAAGGAATGTTCGAGCTTTGTAATCATCAGCTCAAAAAGCCACTTGTTAGAGTTTATACTTCTGGAGAGCTGATGTAAAAATAACTTCTCCGGGTTGTACGTGCAGTAACGCTTTCCTGTGGGCTAGTCAGTGTATACCTAGTACATAGTGCGTGACTGCGCTAAAACAACATAGACAAAGAAGAGGTGTACACAAGGTTGTATATTACATGGTCTGTGGTAGGACTTTTGCGTGGACACTGCACCTCGTGTGTCTTATTTCAGAGTCACGTCTATTTACGCGAATGTCCAGCAGACTCGTCACTGGGGAACGTAGACGCCACCAGTACTGCCTATTTACGATATCAAGTAAGCTGAGTATAAAAATGTAGTTGTCATTACCCAGAAACGACGCATATTCAGATGTGAGCATGCGCCCTATACGTGAACTGTTTCCGTGTCTAAAGTATCACAGCAGCAGATTCACGGCGTCAGGTTTGCAGGCACGGCTACCACAATGCGGCAAGCCCGCCACTGTAACCCAGTAGAAAGTGTAGTGCCGTTTATTCTTACACACTGAATTCGTTCCGCCTTGCCGTGGGAGAAGATGACTAGTGCATTTTTCGTCGCCCTTATGTTAGAGCCGGTGCATAGGGTTGTCAATGTTATACTAGGCCTGCGACGGCAATTTGTCAAGGTTGAAACAACATTTAATAAAAATATGGAGTGAAACTAAATGGACTTGTTGGTTCTCTTTCACGTCTTAAGCATCAAGTATAATTTTGTTGTGATAAATATAAGCGTAATAGTTGCCATGAATAGTGGAACCACAGAAAGTGCAGGGTGTCTCGCGCAACTTTTTGCGAACTCGTTAACGAATCTTTTGTGTAGCATGGAGCTGAAACAAATTCAGTACTCATGATCCACAAAATTGTTTGTTACCTTGAGTAGCCTAGTTTATAATGTTGAAGAGAACCTGTGAGATTTCTAGCCCTACCACCTGGTCACGCTGGCTCTCAACGTCTTGGCCTGGCCACTTCGATGTTACAAGTAAGCCTTCTGTTCGGTCAACGTAAGTCGGGAGCTGATTCAAACTTCTGACTTCATTAGACCAGGCAATTCTTGTTAAGGTACGACGTGAAAATGTAGCCTAACTCGTTTCCTACCCGGCAGTTACTTCTTATTAAGAGGTGATAGTTCACTAGTTATCACCACTCAATATTCTTGTTAAGTGGTGATTTGTGATAACGGCCGAGATGAAACCAAAGAAGCAGATGACAGCTGTGACTGCCACGTTTTAGCAAAGTGTTAAGTTTGCATGTATGGCATACTCTATAAATCATATGAGGGACAATCACTTCTTAAAATCTTAAGAGGTTCTTATGCGTTTTTGTTCTTCCCCTGCGCAAGCTCATTTACATTCAATGCGCATTGTGATATGTGTTGTTCGCGTATGCCAAAAGTAGGAGTTGAATCGACTCGATATAGCACCGCCGCTGTTACCTCTATAATTGTCATCTCTTGAATTAATCAGGTTAACTAGCTAGCGCTATAGTAACTCCTAATCAGGTTTACGGGGATATCATGCTGCTGTGCAGGATACTTTTTGGTTGTCCACAATGTAGAGGTCGTTTAACACCTGGCATTGAACTATGAAGTCGGTGGTGCCTTACAAGAGTAATGCAGGCGTCTTGTTCATTTATTATCTCAGAGTTTGGTCGCATTATCATTACGGTGCATCGTACTTAATATTGGCTTATGCAAAAAGGTCGTTGTGAACTAACCAGTGGGAAAGGGCGGTATCGGTATCGTTTGTGAACCAACCTTTTGTTAATGGATTCGAAAAGTTGCCTTCAATGTAGTTGACGCTCGCTTGAAAAACAATGGCCTGGACTCGTACGGCATTCATAAACGATCTCATTCAATTTCGTATGGTAATCGTTTGAAAGCCTATGTTGTTTATAGTGGAAAGTACAAATGTGGTGTTGTTTGGGTGAAGCAGTAGAACCACGATTTTCACTGAAGCATTACCTGTTATCATAATCTATACGTTGCTTCAAGTACACACTTCTGTGGCCTGTACACCTACCACAAAACAGAAGAAACACTGCTCCCGGAACCAGAAAAACAGATTGCATGATCTGTCGGCAACAACTTTAAGTATTGATTTGTGGGGTTTAACGTCCCCAAACCACCATTTGATTATGAGAGACGCCGTAGTGGAGGGCTCCGGAAATTTTGACCACCTGGGGTTCTTTAACGTGCACCCAAATCTGAGTACACGGGCCTACAACATTTCCGCCTCCATCGGAAATGCAGCCGGGAATCGAACCCGCGACCTGAACCACTTTAAGTATGATGCTGAACTTTCTGGCTACAGTTGAATTCTTTTTTCAATTTTCTTGTTATATTTTATATTGTTAGGAAGTGCCCCTGCATGGTGTGCCATACAGATACGCCTAAATATTTACAGAACATTGTCTTAACGATGCATGTGTGGTACAGTTAAATATGAATATCCTAATGAGTGCAAAAGACTTCGTTGCTGCTCAACTGTACATTCTGTGTTATGGCTTCAACATTTCCTCCATCTGTCACACCAGGATGCGAATACTACACAACCCAAAAATGCCCTCGTTGTGTTAATCGACAGTACTACTCAAGTAACCATGACGACTGCTCATTCTTTTATCAAAATTTGTTCGATCATAATTCTAGATAATATATACTCTCTTTTTTTTCGAAAGCTTTCGCAGGGCCAACACGCGTAGGCTATTCAGAAACACGATTCTGTCGTTTTCTTGACTTCTTTTCTGGATCATCCCTTCGCCTATTCGTTCTAAAGTTACGCAGCCCCGAATTCTTGGAGCAGTCTACTTTTCGCTTCTGAGGTAGTCGTAGCGGCTTTATACACGGATGTTGCCTTGACTTCTGAAAACAAGGTGTCGCGTTGCCTCCTTTCAAACTCAAGATAACGCAATACATCTGAGATGTCTGGGCAGGCAACATTGCTCAAACAGTTTGCCCTCCACGCTGCCTATGGACCAAACAAAGAGGCTGGCTGGTAGAAAGGCTTTGGCACGGCTTGGCAATAATTGTGTCCTGTTTTTTCCAGACACTCATTATAATGTAAGAGGCTGACACACTCTTAAGCTGGCCATACACAAAGCTGTGATCTCTTGTACTGTATTGGAAAGGGTAATAGGGAGTCGGGTCGCTTGGTATTAAGCTATTTTTTTTATCTTGCCTTGAGTGGGCTTCACACTGGTAGCCTGAACACTTTCTCTCTCTTTTTTCGCAGGAGTTATAGGGTGAAGCGAGTGCTATACATCACGAAGTTATTTAAGCATGCCATCATGATTATTTTATTTATTACCACCGGAGCTGTCGAAATGTTTGGCATTGATGTTTTATGATGAAACATGTGTGCCTGTTTTGTTTATTTGTTTTTTAACTTAAATATGTACAGTGGTTGTGTGATTTGTAGCGCTAATTGGTGCTCATTTTCACAAATTTTCGCAATACTGTTGTGTGGTTGACTGTGTAAAGATATGTTTCAGTGCGCATTTGATGTTCATTAAAGTGTCTGATATTTCCTTCGTTTCAAACTTTGCGTGTTGATTCTTTATAATAAATGACACATCTCTCCAAGTCACAACGCTTCTACTTCACTCGTGATTAGCCTGCCTATTTCATTGGAGATCTGTAGCGTGTTTCCAAGAATCAGTAATTGAGCTTGTCATGTCCACTTCTACGAGAAATTCTAGGCCAGAATATACATAATCTTCCCTCATTTCACGTTGACGACTTCTGTGGCATTAACAGCATATATAGCCCCGCGTCCACAAACGCTTTATTTGACATGTGCTACTGTCATCATTAAAAAGTTCGCTTCTCTTGCTCTATGGCTGTGTTGCTCAGAAGATACCTTGATGAAGTGCAATATACTTCTCCATAACTGGCTGTGGTAGTTTTCTTAGTGTCTTCATGACAAGATAAAGCGTAACCAATGGATCTTCTCATATGCAAATAGTTGCGGAAGAAGGCAACAGACGCAATGCATAGAGGTGGTGAAACAGCGTCGTATTATTATTATTATTATTATTATTATTATTATTATTATTATTATTATTATTATTATTATTATCATTATTTGGGTAACCATATACATATATGGTATTCTTCGTTACTGGGATTGACTTGACCTTCTTCACTCATACTTTCGATAATCTGAGGTCAGCCATGGCAATTAAGTTATACAGAGAACTCTAAACATTGATTGACGCAATTCAACGGCACAATGTGCAGGCCTGGTCGAAATTTCGCGGGCCACACTTCCATAGAATTACATGAAACAGTGGCCTGAATACTTTTGATACCCCTCCCCCCCCCCCACGGAAAACATTAACTTTCATTCACGCCGGTAATCTTTTGAGCTGGAAAATACACACTGTTCAAAATTACCTTTTGCAATGGCGTGTTCATTTATGAGGTGCACTATGGAGACGCTATGAAAAGTCCCTTTACATTCAGAGACCCGAACACATGCGCTTGTGGACACTGTTGAAGAACGTTTTGATACATTGCTAGCGATAGAGAGAATAAAATGAGTGAAAGGCTGGGAGGTAACTAATGGCGTGCATCAGTTATGAAGCCATAGGCAACTGCACCTCGAACACATCTTAGCAAATGATCCTATGTTTACTCAAGTACGGCTATACTTGCACGGTTGAACTACGTGGTATGATGCGGAGCTTCACCGCTGGGTGTGGTTCCAAGAGAAGCCGCTGGGGAACAAACTTGACGGGTACCTGCAATCAAGGAGAACGGAGTTTACTGTGCATACTTCTTAGAATGATTGAAGTAAAACTTGTTTAATCAATTCAATGATTTTGATGTGACTCTCGCCAACTTGAAAGTAGAATCTATAATAAGCACAATATTGGTAAGCAAGAAACCTACGATGCTATACAACCAAGTTGCTTGAATGAGTTTGATGCGTCTTTTGATTTATTTTTATAATAGATAGTAGAGCTTAAAGACTGATTCAAATAGATGAGAAGCATTTTTTACAGATGTGTCGCAAAAGTACACCAAAATACTTTATATTTCATATCTCCAGTCATTTGAACACTTCTGTTTTGTAAGAAGGTGCGAAGAAACCCTGTGCATGTCACGAAGATGAGTCGTTTTCAGATCAACTATTATTTCGGTGTTGTATACATGAGAAGGCGTAGCACTGATAAATGCTACCTGAATATTATAGTTGAAGGTTACGGTTTTGCAAACTGATCGTTTATATATTCAAGCGAGCAGCTTTCTGCAATATCTCAGCTACTCGCTTACGATGATCGTCGCAGTTAGCTCCTGCGGAGTATTTTTCAAATGAATGTATGGTGCGCTTAAAGTCAGGAGAGTTGTCACAACCCGTCTAAAGATTTCCTTCCCCTCTCTTCTAACACACAAATTGGTTATTCTGGCTGACTCTAGTTGAATATCACTCAAGTGATAAAGGAGAGGGTTTGTCTGCTAACAAATGCTGTGTGGCAGGAGAAAGTGACGGATCAGTTATGTGATGGAATAAGAGAGACCGATACAGCACCGTGAGTGCAGACCGGTTGTTCTATTTTTCCATCGTCTTCCTCTCCTTCGTGCTGGCCTATACCGCGAGAGCCAAAGCTCCGCTGCCGTTTTTTTTCATCATTACACTTAACAGAAAATATTCCTGGGGCCATTGCTTCAATAAGAGTTCTTCAGGCACCTTATAGGAATGTTGGCTCTAGCGAGATTCTCTGTTCAAAGACTTCACATCGATTGAGATCTCAATCTTGCCTTAAACTTCTGTTTTGTCTGGTAGCAGCAAGTTAATGCTATCCCTTTCAATGACGTCGTCGTCCCTTGTCCCCTGGCATGCATTGATATTCGGTATTCAGCAGGCGATCAATATTAGCTGAAAGCCAGCGCTGTCATTTGTGTGCCTTTTTGCAATGTCTATGCTGCTATTTTTAGAGTGACATAGGCACCCCGTAGCCCCAATACGTTGTACCGACATGCCCAAGCAACCACTTTAGTATTCTGTATCCTCAGTTACTTCTCGCAGTTCCAGCAGCTTAATTTGCAAGAACTGTTCATGTGCCCATTAGATTTCTTTGGTTCTCCAAAGACACAGAGCATTATGAGGATTGCGATAGTCATCCAAGGCTTGTGTCAAAGTTTTAACAACGAGATTGAGAGAGAGAAAAAACTATATTTTTATCCTTGCTGGGGTCAAGGGAGGCGGGGCCCTGGAGACTAGCTCTACCCGGAGCCCCCCTTTCTCAGGCGGTGGCTAGACCTTGGGTCTTGGCCGTTTCTGCCCAGAGTTGGTCATCCGGGCCCGCGCCGAGCAGCCTAACCTCCCACCGCTCTGGTGGTGTTATCCTAAATGTAGTATCAGCGCCATGTTTGACGGTGTGTGTCGCTGTGAGACATTCCCAGATATGTGGTCGAGGTTGGCGCGAAGCCCCTTAGCAAAGCTCTCCTTGGGCACTTAGTACCAATAAACTATCGTATTCATAAATGAATGTAGTCCACAGCATCGGAGTGAATACCGACTGGTCCACTAAAAATGAACGCGACGCTTAGCCATGTGCCTCAGAAATTTAAGCGAACTGTAAAAAAATTGTCATCATTAATGGGTATGTGCCACAGAAATTGGGTAAGTCCTGCTACTCGTCACTAGTTCAATGAAATGAAGAAGGCAACAGCCCGATCGGTGACTGCGAAGCGGCAGAGGCGAGCCGAATATCCTGAGTTCATACAACGAGAGAACACTACGGAACGGGAAAGGTAACCGTGGCTGCGAGAAGACCTCGAATCGATGGGAAGTTTATACCAACGATGACGTGGCCATGTCGTGTTTGTCACTGCCTGTGGTGTAACTCCAACCTCTATGCGATGAAAATCAACGTAAAAACAACTTGGCACCAGCTAGCTAAATCCTACCAACGACTTCTTGCATCATCTGGGAAACTCCTGCATCACTAAGCTAAGGCCCAGAAACAACAAGCTCAATCTTCAAAATCGTCCAGTATTGCTGTTCCACCGCTTTCGTGGCCTAGTGAAAATTTCATATATTTTTTACTCGGCTTTTTACTTTGCTCTTGCGTGCCGAAATGGCTGTGGTACCACACGCAGAACTCACCGCTGTCTCGTCGCACCGCTCAAAGCGGACGTCCCTCAGCAAACAGGCGAGCACACTCTTAGCCTGAACGAGAGCAACGCGTAATCCTATGCAGTTCCGGGGTCCCGCGCCGAAAGCCAGGAAAGTGTACGGCTTGAGTAAGTCCTTGTTCTCCGGCAAGAACCTGCGATGTGGACACAATGCTTAGGCATGATTGCCAGTGCTAGCTGCTCACTTAGGTAGCAGAGAAGTCTGTGGCAGAAAAAGGGACGCGGAGGGCAGAAGAGAGAGACAGAACTGAATCCCACGATATCTGTCGTACATTTTGTTATTGTCAGAAGTGGTATGGCACACTCCTGTTCTTTTTGTGTCTATCCTGTGAACAAACTTCAATCAGTAATTCAATCTATTATACCGATCACTAATTCGCCCAAAGCTTGAGTACGCGTCCGCTATATGGGATCCCGTGCAGCAAAATTTAATTAACGCGTTAGAATCTGTTCAGAACCGCTCAGTTCGGTTCATTTGTTCTAATTATTCTCGTACTGCTAGCATATCAGAAATGAAATCTAACCTTGACCTACCCAATTTAACTGTCCGGAGGAAACTGGCGCGACTGCATTTTTTTCACAAGATATTTTTTCACAATCCATCAATGAAGCGAGACCTCATTTCACAACCGTCATACCACTCATCGCGCATTGATCATCAGCATAAGGTTGCCATTCCGTTTTGCCGCACCAAATTCTTTTCAGCAGCCTTCTTACCGAAAACAGCCGCCGATTGGAACCACCTTCCCTCTTCCGTTGTATCAATAACAGACCCTTTGTTATTCAAGACTGCAATTTCTCAGCAATGCTTGTAACTATACGCAGTTTCCATTATCTATCTTTGTCTTGTATGTGCTTGAATTCTTATACATTTTTAGTTGACTTATGTTGCCTTCCTGATTTGCGCATCTGATACTTGTTTCTTTATTTTGTCTTTTTTTCTTGTGTGTTATATATGTTGTACCCACCCCCTCTGTAAGGCCCTACGGGCCCTGAGGGTATTCTAATAAATAATAAAATAAATAAGTAATATATTTTTTAGTAAGTGGATGAAAAACCTTAGCGATACTCTTTCAACACTTCAGAGAAAATTTCGCAACTCTGCCGATTTCTTTTTTAGGAATATTTCCTATTGAGCCCTCCTATGAATGCTCGTTTCGTTGAGAAGAAACTACTACCCTAAGTTAAAAAACTTTAATTATTATTCATCAAGATATTAAAACAACCATTTCTGTTTGTTTTTATCTACCGCAGCTATGTGAATCAGATTTTTTATTATAAATATCAATGTCATAAGTCTAGGTCGGACTACGGTCAAAGATTGTGTCAGCACCTTCGCAACTGTAGAAATAGACTGCCGCTAACACCAGCATATAAATCAGTCGCTTTTACTGCAAGCCACTGTATGCAGCTGCGACATAATAATATTTCGAGTGTGTTGAAAGCATGCAGTAGTCTCACCAATGATTTTCAAAAGTAAATCACAGAAAAGGTCCAGAACAGGCATCGGGTGGTATACGAAACAGAAAACATTTGTAATAAAATAAGAAAAGAAGAGCGCTCAAAAGTCAACAACCTGTCCCGAACGCTCTTCAACGGTTTCCCACTTAGCGTTTTCGTGTATATATATATATATATATATATATATATATATATATATATATATATATATATATATATATATATATATATATATATATATATATATATATATATATATCATAGGGACTCGTATTCCTTTCTTTAAGACGACTTGAAGACTAAAGCCATCGTCTTTTATTTTCCTCAGTTCACGTATCTATCCTGTCCTGCCACCCTTGAAAATCTTTCTGCAGCTAACGTAGTCATGTACTTCCTCCAAGATTGGAGCCACCTCACCTGGTTTCGCAATGCCTCCGAGATCAAAATACCTTTGTCCAAGCTATGGTGCTTTGTATGAAGCCATCAACGAGTGTGACGTCATGACGACGTTACAAACTTTGGTGATCTGCGACGTCAACGTGACGACGTCATGCGGTGACGTTATCACGTGAAGACGCTTTGTCTTACTCGTTTCCAACGCCGCGGGGCATCGACTGTCAAATTTGGCACTTGATGGACCATTCAAGGCTTTCGCCTTAATATTAGAAAACAACCTACCTTTCCGGTTTAAATGTGTAAGGATCCGGAAAGAATTCCGGGTTGTAATGGACGCCTGTCAACGGTATCTCGATGCACATCCCGGGCTTGAAATCTATCCCGTGCAGTGTCGTTTCTTGGTTGCAGCGCCTCGTCAAGCTGAAGAGGAGAAGATAACAACCGGCGATGTTTGCTCCGACTTTATGCGAGACTAAATGAAGTTTGATCCGTCACACATGACGTCCTCCGTAACTGAACACTCTGCAGCGAGAAATTGTGGAAGAATCAAGTATGTATTGGGAACACAAAACAACTATTTGAGAATGTGACTAAATGAGTGCGGCTGAAAAAAAAAAACTAATCAGATGTTTAAGTTTGAAAAATCAAGACAGAGTTACCAGCGCAAAAAGACGAAACAATCAAGAAGAAACAGACGTACAGAGTGCTGAGTGTGTATGTTTTTTCTTGAATATTTCTTGAATTTGCGATCGTTATTAAATCCTAATCATGAATCTATTCTCGCCAAGGCAGCAGTGTTAACAAAAAAATCAAATGTTTATAGTTTTCACCGCTCCACTTATTGATAATCTCATTAGAAGGTGTTTTGGATTATTCTTACGGAGACGTTAGCCTTAATCAAATGTCTGAGTAACAGCGTTGTCTAGGTTGTTAAAACAATTGCCTGGAGGGATATGATTGCATTTGTTCAAGGTATGGAACAAAACGTCTTGCTCAGGTTTTCGTGGTTCTTTTTGAATAACGCAAGCGCGAAAAAAATATAATCCTACCGCAATGTTCGATGCGTATTAATGTACTTGCAAATGAGAAGAGCTAAGAAATGTATTATCGTAGCAGCTTGTGCTTCATGGACCCCTCGCCGTGGTGGTCTAGTGACTAAGGTACTCGGCTGCTGACCCACAGGTCGCGGGATCAAATCCCACCTGACGGGGCTTGCAGTTTCGATGGAGGCGAAAATGCTGTATGCCCGGGTACTCAGATTTGAATGCACGTTAAAGAACCCCAGGTGGTCGAAATTTCCGGATCCCTCCTCTACGGAATCTCTCATAATCATTTGGTGGTATTGAACCCCACATATCAATCAGTCGGGCTTGTCGAAATGTGACGACTTTTAGTTCTACTAGTGAAATTTTGCCTTATGGTTTTTCTGCCCATTTACTAAGCCTGTTCGAATGCATTGCTTACAATGGCATCGCATATTCTGAAAGAACTTTTTTCTATCCGAAACGAGACGTTAAATTCGTCTGCGGCTAAGAATTCACTGAAGCCAACCTTCTGATTGTTGGATTTCTAAACTTACACTGCAAAATATCTTCTTTTATAGCGCTGAGAAACTGACAGTTGCTCTACGCACTAAGAAATAAAGCATGCACCGGCTGTCAAACTTCGTATACTTACAATGAGTCAGGTGTATACATCCGCAGGGACTCCTTCACCGTAGCTTCGAGTAGGGGCATGGTGTTGATTGCCTCGAACGTCATCCCGTGCTGCAAAATGAGTAAAAAAAACTATTAAGTTATCTCGCACTCAATGTTGGACGTGCAAAGTTCATGCATTACTGTAAATCAAGAAGCTAAAATACTACACAGAAAATTATTGCGTGCGCTGGCGTTCTAGTTTCACATGTCGCATTTGTTTATAAGCGTAGCTTTAAAGGGCGCCTAAACAGCCTCTGAAAACTTGAAAAAACGATGGCGTTATTAGAGAGATTTAGGACGATTCGCGGTTCACTGATGAAACGCTTCGAAGCTTCACCCAACTCATCATGAATCACTCCGTGGAAAAGCTAGAATTTTTATTTGTTTGTTTAGCATGGTCTACCCCACATTTCCAGCAGCATGGGCCTGATTAGAATCCGCCTAGATTGTGAACAAATCAGCCAGATATTATGGCACCGAAGTGAGTGGCGTGCTAGTTGATCCAGTCTAAGTACCAGTGGCCATACCGTAATCTTTGTAGGGCATGTAGTACCCGCAAAAGTGGCAATATACCTACCTTTGGTGCTTCGACTTAGGGTTTCAGCCACAAGACTGTTTTTTATTCCGTTTGTGCATACCTTTACGAAACAAAACGAATAAGACGTGAACTGGCTAATTGTGTCTTATTAGTGAAGCAATAGTTTAACTTAAAACACATTTACATATTTACTATGAATAATAATCGTATGAACTACTATTATTCACGTTAGATTGTAGTCAAGACAATGACTATCTGTCCGTTCGTTCGCCCACACCTGCTGAGTGAGTCATCGAACTAGGTGGTCATGTACCACGAGCTAGGAGGGACAGACCCAAGGCTTTAGGAGTTTCGCCCCTAAAATTAACTTGCCGTGGGCAGGCAACAAAGTTACAGCAAATGGTTCCTGTCCACGGCAAGTTATCTTTTCGTCCACATTTCTTTTTTCCCATTTACATTACATGTACTGCTAGTAACATCCCCTATACTTTCCTTGCCAATATTTTCTGTTATTTCTCATTATTATTTTGTCTAACAAATAGAACGAGCCCTTAAATATACACTTATTTTTTCGATATACTATTTCTTCAAGGACATTATTAGCAATACTTATTGTTGGCCTAGTTGGTACTTGCTTAATGACACGCTTTGGCCGCAAATAACATGCACATAAAGTGAAGAAACACTCAACGACAAGCCCAAGTGGCGCTTGCAACTTATTAGCATTCCACAAACCCTGTGCGATGGACACTGTGGCGTGGTCGTGGTCCAATCGAAGCAGCCAAAGTGGTGCACGTGACGTTCGTGCTTATGCCGCCCACATAATGCTCTCCTGCCTAAGCGCTCCAAGCACTGAAGTTGTTTGCTTCCTCAGCTGATGCCACAATAGATAGTCTGATCAGGAGTGCTCTGCGCTGATTATGCACAGCGCATATCACTACAGCAAGCGCCATAATATTTTGCCCTCGAAATACCTGCATAGTCGCCGATGCTTTCATCGTAAGCTCCCCGTTGTGCTCGAGCAACGCATGCCCCTGTCTTTCCTGCATTTTTATGGGTAAGCGTTGAATATTTTTCTTTGCGTGTTACGTTGCTACATAATACACTGCTGCCAAACTGACGGGCGTGGTCGCTAAGAGTACTTGGAACAAGTCTTAATGCGGCAGCGTTAAAGCTCGTTTCGCAGGAAATTAGTGGTCGGCGTCATTGGCTGTGATCAAAAAGTAAGCGTTGCCCATGAGCGAAAATTTCACATATATTGTGAGCAGATAGAGAAATAATCAAAATATTTGATTCAAATGGAAATGAAACCTGGTACCTGCGGGTATTTAGTTGCTCTGCTACAGAGCCACACCTGTGCTTGAAACTGCTTCGGAGAAAAAGTCATACGAATGTCATGTATAGCGCGTTGATGTGTCGTCATGTAATATTGCGTGGCAGAAGCTCAGAATCATACCAGGCATCGAAATAAGTGAATTGTGCATGGAGAGGTCGGTTTAAAGCTCCACCTATTCAGATCACAACATGTAGGTAACCATCGCTATCGGTAACAGCATGAACTAAGTGTACAGGTGCGCGGATAGGCGTGTTGCCTTACAGGTGCGTAGCTGAGTCGCAGTAGAAGGATTATGGATTAGTGGGCATTTCGCTACTGTGCCTACAGAATTCATTCTCGGACAGCTTGAAACGGCCACTGTTACGCTTGGGGGCGTTTTTTTTTTCTAGCGGCATACCTAAGGCATCCACCAAGCACCAAAACAAGGCTAGAAATTAACAAGCCGACGCTCACGAGGCCGGATCACGCTATCGTGTTCTAATCTTGAAGGCGAAGCTCAAGTGTTTCTGAAGTATGACGTTTCTTGTGCGGAAATTTTCTTTGAAGCGTTTGCGTGTGCTAAAACAAAAAGAAAACAGAGGAGGAAAGCATCTTTCAGGCGTGTTTATTGTTGTGAACGCCATAGGCATGTATGTGACGGTGCGCGTGTATACAGCCAGCGCAAACAAGACCAGAACACATACAGGGTTCCGCGTTTGAAACGAAATAGTCGGAGTTCATGGCTGCTGACAGTGACTGTGATGGCGAAACTGTCCGTGGTTGTGACGCATGGCGACTGCATCCGGTAAACAGTCGTTCAATCCGCAGATATTGGTTGCACTGGTGGAGCGCTTCTTGCCAGGTACTACGTGCCTCCTCGCGCGAAGCGGCTGGAGTTGGTGGGCCTACGCTACGAAGGAGTGAGCAGAGATGTCTAACCCCCGTATTCACGAACGTTCCTCGACTCGAATCTCGTCCTTCACTTGAACGAGCTCAGCACAGCACCGCTGCTCGTCTACAAATGACGCTGCACTTCTCAAGGATAGCAGCAGATTATCGCTGGTATCGGGCGACTTGCTCTGCATAGAGGCAGCGCTGCCATAGATTTTCTCAAGTCAAGGTGAAGCGTGGAGTGAAGGGACGTTCTAGAATACGGGGACAAGAAGCCCGGCGATGCGTAAAGGGCTGTGACGAGTGCTCCAAGTACCCTGTTACCAAGCTAATTGCTAGTACGAGCTGCCGGGGCGTTCTGCAGAGTGCTCCACAAGCACCGAGCCAAATGCAGTACCAGTAGTCTACAGCGGTGAGCCCGGTTGTGGTGAACCCGCGCGCGCGTGACTGATGGCACTGTAGAGCCAGGTTGTACGAGACGGACACGTCTTTTCAGTAACAACGTCTACTTTATTCTGTCATCCCAGAGAGTCGAGAATAGAGCAGGTGCACGCAGTGCATTGGAAGTGGCAAGCGTGAAAGAGCCGAAGGAGAAACATAGAGGAGAACAGCACGTTGCTTGGAATGCTGCCCCGCAGGGTTTTTATTGGCGGCCGCGTCGCTACAGATTGCTACCCCTTAGAGAGGAAGCTGGTGCGGCGAATGATTCTCAGTGGCAGTGTCGTACCAGTGAACGCTGGTGTAGTGGTGGTGACGGAAGGAACACTGGTGAGAAGGGCCCTCGTGTCCAGTGGAGGGAGGCACGGCGAGGCAATTAAGATCGGGCGCTTCACTGAACGCTGACTTGGGCCGTTCGAGCGCGATGGCACCACGTGTCCTATTGATGTCGACGACAAAGTTAGCAGGCCAGTGCTCAGAAGGGGCCGAAGTAGTGTGGTCGAAGTGGGTGCGCACAGGGCCGTACCACACGAACCCGGTTGTCGCTGTTTTAGGGGTGAAGCTCCTTAAAGCTGCACCCGTTCGTCCCTCGTAGCAGTAGTAATAGTAGCCGTAGTGTGTAACCAGTCTTACAATTTGACCTCCAAGGTGGTGCCGGTGGGAGATTTCTTCTGTGCGTTGTTGAACAATAAAAAATTCGCAGCGTGTGCGTTAACTAAAAGCCAAATTCTCCTGTCTCTCATTTCCTCTTATCAGCCATGGGCATGTACATTGAGCACTATCTGACAAGAAAGGGTTGCTACGTTATACTCGCTGGGCGTAACCTCTAGGTTTTAGAAAGGTTTAGCGAGCGTTGGGCCGCAGTGCCATGAATACAGTGAACAAGTATATACCATGAACTCGAGGTGGTTAAAGGTGGGAAGTAGACACGAAGCGCAAGCCGTGAAGAAAGTGTGCGTGTGCCTCCTCTCGTTCAGTCCTTGGTATGTCCGCTGGATGGCGGTGCTTCTATATGACGAATATATGATGAAAAGATGCGAGATGACGGTACTTGGAGTGATGAGTATGTGGACGAACGGACACACAGACAGATGCATGGACGGACGCACGGATGGCTGCAAGGGCGAATGGATGCATGGACGGACGCAGGAGCGGATGCATGGACGAACGCAGGGACGGGACGCACATGATGGACGTGCGGGTGCACGAACGGACGCACGCACGGATGGGCGGATGATTGCATGGGCGGCCACACAGACGCACGCATGGACGGACGGTAGCAAGAACGAATGGACGGCACGCATGCTTCGCCCCACTCTCCATCATTCACTCCGTGCATATGCTGCCATTTTTTTGGGTCTTGAGCGATGTACGCTGCACGTGACTGGCTGTGTGTAGGATGCGGACGAATGTGTCGAAAGACGTCGCGCAGCTGGTCGACGTACTCTGTTGCTGTTAGCTGGCTGGCACTTCCACTTTCTTCGAAGAAATCGGCATGCAGGCGAAGCGCAGTGCCATAAACAAACTCGGAAGTGGAGCAGGAAAGGTCCTTCTTGAAAGATCGAATTCCGAGTAGCCTGAGCGGGAGGCAGTCGACCCACTTGTCAGGGCAGCCATGTGCTGTGAGTGCTGCTTTGAGGTGCCGGTGGAATCCCACGTTGTGGCCGTTTGCGGATGGTGTGACGCTGTACGCAGGCGTGAAATACCAAGACGTTTCAGGAGCTCCGAAAAGAGAGAAGATTCGAACTGCCGACCCCGGTCCGATACAACCGTTGTCGGATAGCCAAATCGGGATATCCATGCAGAAACAAAAGTCGCTAGCTGCAGACATGTCGAGCATAGGAGCCACTTCGGGCCAGCGGGTGAAACGATCTAGATATGTCAGTA